AAAAAATAATGTTTCAAAATATCCTAGTTGATTTGGTATATTATACTTTTAAAATGAATTCCTTGTAATAAATTGAACAAAATAATGTTTCAAGATATTCTAGTAGATTTGGTATGTTATACTTTTAAAATGAAAACCTCATAATAGCCTGTAATAAAAATATTCTGTTAACATTTGATGTAGAAAATCTCTTACCTTAATGTTTAACCTATAACTCAATTTTTATACAGTACAAATTTTTTTTTAGTTATGAACTTCAAAAAACTCTTTATATACAAAATTTATTCTATGCCATTTATTTTCAGAAGTATTGAACTATTTTGAATAAAAATATGCATTTTGTTCTATACATATTTTTTAATTTGGCTAATTTCGTACAATAAACAGGAACTTCATTATTTATTCATTTTTAACATATCATTTTTGATAATTTATTTATGGAACTTAATAAAAACATGATTTATCTATTTTAGTAAGGTTATATAAATTTAATAAGGTTTAATAAATACTATTTTATGTTATATAAATTTGATTACTACTTTGTAATATATTATGAAAACATTTGCGTTATTTTTAAAATGTATTTAATAAATTTTACTGCATTTACTAGCATTTTTTTGTTTAAATATAAATTTTACTAGCATTTTTTTGTTTAAATATAAATAGTTTTGAAGCCTTGCTGTTAGAATGGACAACCAAAATATCAAAAAAATACATAAATTATAAAATATCGAAAAAACCCATAAATTAGAGGAAAAAAAAGTTTAAAAAAATATAAAAATTTCATACTAATTGAATGTTTTTGTAAATGCATGAAGTATATTTTTTAAACTCATTGATATTCAGTATTACTTTTTAATTGAATTATTATCTCCCATTTTAAATTTTACATGTAAATTAACCATTAATTCTTGAATTTTGAAAACTTTTGCAATTTCACTTACAATACAGTGCGCTTTCAATCTAATGATATGAATATGAAATATTTATTGCACATCTACTTTATTTATAACTTATATAAAGAATCTGAGCTTGTTTAATATTTTTAACCAGAAAATAAATTAATTGGATTTTAATTCGTATACTTATTTATACGTATAAATAAGTATACGAATTAAAATCCAATTAATTTATTTTCTGGTTAAAAATATTAAACAAGCTCAGATTCTTTATATAAGTTATAAATAAAGTAGATGTACAATAAATATTTCATATTCTTAGCATTAGATTGAATTTAGATTATTGAATTTAGATTAGAATTAGATTGAAAAGATGTTTGTTGATCTGGGTATATACCCAGATCAACAAACATCTTTCAATTCAATTTCTTTCAATTTTTTCAATTCAATTCAATCAAACCATTTTATACCCAGATCAACAAAAATCTAAAATTCTTTCAATAATGATAAAGTTTTCTTAAAAGACAGCCATAATTAAAATAAATATTTATGTTTATTAAAAAAACTAGACTGCCAGAAAATTTAAAAGTGCATTTTTTTTAAGGTTCAAAATAACGGTCTAAATTACCTTAAAAACACTGACTTAAATACAATTAAATAACAATCGTAATGAATATGAAAGATATAAAAAGATTTTTTCATAAAAACGAGTATTCTAACATAAAGTCAAAATTTATTATAAATTTCATTCAGGAAATGACTTTTCTAATAAGTTTTTTTTATATTATTTTTAATAAAAATAAATCAATAATAATAAATCAAACTTAAATGAATATTTATTTTAAATCAACTTCTCATAGAATATAAATAAAGTTTAAATATTACAAGTTCATCAGTTATAATTTATTAAACTTTTTCCTTTGTACTTTAAATTATATAATTGTTGGACCCTTTGAAGGCCGTAGGGATTTCTGTTTGTTCGTTTTTAAACATAGTTGCATGCTGCTTTATTTATCCTAAAAGTCGGAGAATTGTCAAATAACATTATTATTTCAAAAAACAAATTTCTAATAATGTAAAATAATCGAATTGATATGCATAATAAAATCGATAGGACAAATATGTCCCTCTGTCCTCAAAAGGTTAAGTATATATCAAATGATTTGTAATACAAAAAATGTAGCGTCAGAAATTTGTTAAATTCAAGTGACAACGATGTAAAATAGTAGAGTTTGTTATTGAATTATGTAAATGCAAAAATCTGCCCGGGTATGCGTCAAATGAACGGGGAAGTACCCATAAAATTTTTTTTTCTAATTATTATAATAAACGCTTATTAAAAACCTTTTATTCAATAGTGTCATTTAATTACAGTTGTTCGTTTTCAATTAAATCTAAATTTTATTTTACTTAGTAAAACCTACTAAGTGTTAAAATTATACAAGTCCCAACTACGGTTTAGAAATACTAGCATAACCTTTGTATCGGGTGCCAAAAACGCACGCTATTCATTGGCTACATACCCAGTAATCAAGTAAACGCAACTTGATGGCACTGAAGTTGCAGGTATACACATGCACTTGTATGCTAAAATAGAAGAACTACATTATTTAGAACTATAGGATTTAGTCCTAGAGACAAATAAATAAAATTTCTGGTTTACCTAAAGGACAAACAGGAATAAAAAGTATTTGAATAAAAAACTCAAATAACTTTCCGAGCATAATGTCAAATGTTTTCAGAAAATATGATGGCGAAAAAAAATATCGTAACTATTAAAACTTTTAACAGCGCAATCTTCAAGATCTTTTTTAACATACCAAGTTATTGTCGTTAATTTTTATATCACGAATAAAGACTTTAAAGTTTAAAAAATGAATGAAATGAATTTTAAACTTATTAAATGACGGTTACTCGTCATTTTACAATCATTTGATAATGCTGTAACTAACGGGCGGGTACTAACCATAGTCATTATAACTAAATATAGTTTATGTATCATTTAAAATATGTTGATGCAATATTTCTTCAAATAATATTTCTACATACATACAAAAATATTAAGAAAGCTAAGTAAACAAAATATATTCGGTATTTATAATCTCACATAAAAAACACCGTATCATCAATAAAACTGCAAAAATTTGTAATAATACTTTTTCGTATATTAAATAACGAATCAAAAGTTCATAAGTTGAGGCATGTAATTTAATTAGGAATAATAATTCAACAAAAAAAATAATAAAAGTACCATTGGTTTAAAATGTTCTTTACATATTTACAAAAAAGTTCAAAAAATATAACTTTAAGTAGTTTTAAAACTTTATTTAATTATTAGGATAATTTAGGCGTGTTTTCAATTTAATTAGCAGTATGTAGTGTTAGTTTAACTCTATATTGGGATTGAACATTTTTACGACAGTTATTAAATCCTATACATTTAAACAAAAAAAAAATTGTACTATTAGTAAAAACAGTATAATTTATAACATACATTCTTTAAATAATGCGGATGTTCTTATAAAGTATATAAAACTTTTAGTAATATTTATAAAGCAGACTAAAATAGAAATATTTCCATAAATAAGTTATCAAAAATAAAATGCTAAAAATGAATAAAGGAATTCCTTTTAGTTGTACGAGCTTAGCCAAATTTAAAAATGTATATAACAAAATTTTATTTTTTATAGTGTAATACTTCTAAAAATAAATACTATAGAATAAATTATTGTATATAAGCAGAGTTTTTTGAATTTCAAAACTAAATAAAAGTTGTACAGCATTAAAGTTGTGTTAAAAGTTAAACATTAAGGTAAGAGACTTTCTACATTTACAAGGAAATATGAACAGAAGCATAACTTATCAAATCTACTCTAATATTTTGATACAAGATAATTGTTTAATTTATTATTTTATTATAAACTATAATAGGAATTGGGAAACTTCATCAACGTTAACAAATTAAAATGTGTATTGAAAAAAATACATTGTTCAACAAAACTATTTCATTTAAAATCAATCCTACGGATCATTTCTATGAAAGCCACCCTGATGACGAAGAGCCAACTAAAGACGATGAAGAAATTACGATTTAAATTTTGTACTGATCACTGAAGACAATAAACAAATTAAAACAACTATTATTTATATTTAATTTATTTAATTTATTTTGTTTATAACTTTATGATTTTTTTTTTTTTATTAAATTACTAAATATGTCAGACAAAGTAATCGTTTGAATGATAAACAATATATTTATTATATCATTATCATAGTTGTGGTTATATTATATTATATTTTATTTTTAATATACCTTTAATGTAATTTTATTACAGTTTTAATAATATTAGATAAGAAAACAGCTAAAGTGATTTAATACATGGATGTTTTAAAAGCAAGTAGATGAGTTAAACTGAGTTTGAGTCAGGATCTCAAGTATATATAAAACTTAGTTTTACTATTTGAGATTTTTTATTTTAACGTTACAAAATCCTGGTATGAAAATGGTTTAATCGGAAGAAGGAGGGGGGGTGGGGGTTAAAGGGGTGAAGGAGGGGGGTGGGGGTTAATCGGGAGAAGGAGGGGGGTGGGGGTTCGTTTCCTTTTTTTTGCATAGATGCTAACTTTCCATCTAATTAAAGATAAATAAATGCAGTTATTTGATAATAACTTAGCTTGCTAGAACAACTTGATTTTGACTAAATTTAAAGAAGCTTTAAATTTTTAAAAACTTTCTATTAGCAATTTTAATTTTTAGCAATGGTCTTTTCCCTAAACAGATATTGTTCTTAATTTTACTGTTTGGTTGATTAATCAAATCCACTTTGCATCGCTCTAATATTAAATAAGTAATTAGGATAAAAAACCAAAAAAAGATTAATAAATAGAAAAATATGAAACTGATTATTTTTTCGTTCGACAAGGAATGCATGTTTATATATATAATGAAAACAATAGTTTTTAGTTTTTATTTAAAAGCGAATTTATTGCATTATTTTGGTTTATCATAAAATAATTCAAAAGTTTGGAAAAATATGTTCCGAGTACATCTATAATATCTATAGTAAACAATGCATTGAGGGAAATTTTCTCTCAAAACCCCACCCCTCCCTCCTTCTTCTCCAACAACTATTAATTAAATTCAGAATTCACTCAAACTAGTTTATGTTATTTTTTTAATTAACTAATCTTCTTACTCTCAAAACAAAAACTGTTTGTTTGAAAAAAAAAATTATGAAAAATGTTATGTCTGAAATCTGTTATTTAATTTTTGCTTTCACAATCTTTGACTTTTTTCAATGTTTATCAAGGTTCTGATGATAGAATATGTTTTCTGTAAAATTTTCGAGAAGTATTGAAAATTCACTCAATACTGCGAGTTTACAAAGGAAGACTATAAAATCTATGGGTCAGTTTTTTTTTTTTTTTTTTTTTTGTTGATATTTTTCAGGCTAAATTTCATAGAATTTGGAATAATACATAGCAGGATCAGGATCAGCACTTTATACAAAAGCGATTTTTGTTTTGCTATTACTCATTATCATATAAATAGTTAACTGCCCAGCAAACAGTTTATAGTGGACATATATAGATTTTGAGTGGACCACTGTAGTTTTGCTCATTGGTTACTTAATGGACTATTAGTGGCGGCCGCCAAAAGTGGCAAGCCAATGATTAGCCACATGTTGTAAAGTTATCGGCCTGCCATTTATAACGGCTGCCCTTTAAGGTCCACTATGTAACCGATGAGCAAAACTAAGATGAACCTCTAAAAAAATCCAGTAAAACAATTTTTTTTGGTTAAGTTGACTTAACTACTAAAATTTATTAAAAAATCTTATATATAACATAAAAATCATTTATTAAATATATATATATATATATATATATATATATATATATATATATATATATATATATATTTTTTTTTTTTTTCTTTTTTTTAGCAATATGCATCCAATAAAAAAGTCGTTATATATCTACAATCAATTGATTTAAATATATAATATCCCAGAAAAATATCTCTTAATAAAAATAAATGTATAGATCTTAAGATATATATGGAATATATATCTTAAGATTTATATGATCTATAATATTTATAAATCATATAAGTTTTTTTAAAATTATGTAAGGACCATCTTGTATTGACATTTTAACATGATTATATATTTACAAAACTCAGCGTCTCACCCTTAATTTGTCATTTTGTAAGAATACAGTTTTTTATATTTCCATTCTTAACATATGTTAACATACAAAAAATGGGTCCTATCTTTCATTAAAAAAAAATAAATTGGTCAAACACTTTTCCTTTAGTTAAGAAACAATTTCTGTATTATCAAACTTTTGATTTTAAAATTGACTGGTCCTCTCGCACAACCATATTCAATAAAACTAATTGCCTCTGTGTCATAATTCTATATAACTAGACCTCACTACATTAGTTTTAAACTTTTAAAATCATATATATATTTCAATTTTTACAGCTCCAACATATTCAAAAATCTTTTAAGGATAGTGTGGGTTCCGCTTTTAATAGCTATTTATGAATATTACAAGCAGGTATGCAATTAAACGTGCGTGCATGCACTCTTAAGTAAGTAATTAAAAATGAATCCATACATATGATACAACCATGTTGCAAAAAAACAAGTTATTATACTAGTATTTTAACCATTTTATTTTTTATTATTAGAGATAGTGAGAAGGTATTTTTTGTTAGAAAAGCTTGAGAAGGTGCTCAAAGAAGACCTACTAGTTACTTTGCAGAGCACCGTGGAGGAGCATTAATCAGAAAGTTACGCCTCCTTCTTATGTCCCTTATTAAATCTTAGCCTAGAACCCGTTTCAAACCTCGAACCTTTTGGTTATAAGCTCTAACCACTGCGCTGACAGTAACAAGCAGTGGTAGCATGCTACCATTCCTAAAAAATGTTAAATGTGTCTTTTGCTATAAGTAAATTGTTATTACTAATTATTTTGCACATAAGAAATTGTTACAAAATAAACTTACACTAATATATATACATGCTGATGCAAGAAATACTCTTTATCATCAAACCCTTTTAAAAAAATTTTAAAAATTAATTGATAAAATACAACAATTACATTACTTCGTTAAATTAAGAAATACATTTTAGGCAATAGTACATTGCATATATACCGTATTCAATAATACCTATATAACTACAAATATAAAAAGACTTTTAGTGTGATTTTTCTTAACATGTTTTACTTAATTAGTATTTTTTTAGTGTTAAATATATAATATAAGAATGTTAAAATAAGAAAAATTTCATAAAAAAAGACAACAACAAAAAAAGAATGTTTGCAGCTAGCATTATGAATATTTTTGTATATTATAATGTGTATTATAACAAACTAAAATTTATTATACAAAACACAAATTGTATTTTATTAATCGACAAATAATAAATAACAAATACACACTCTTCTACAGACGTTTATAAACATTTATATGATAAAAAATAATATTACTAGAATTCTTTAAATTTTAAATAAATATAATCAAAAATTAAAAATGAGTAAAAATCACGTGAGTATTTCTAATTAAAAGCTTCAAAAAAGATTAATTCGTTGTCGTTTATCAAAAGTTTTTTTTAAGTTTATTTTTATATTGCTTAAAAGAAGTAACTTTTTACTCATTATTCAATAATTAAATTAAAAGTTGTAAAGATCAAATCTAAAATAAAACAGTCTGTTGAGCACATAAACGTGATATGGATTATAATAAATGAAAAATGTATGGGAAATATTAATCTCACCTAATGAGACGAGACAGTTCTTTTTAAAGAGCAGTATACGGCTATTATCTACCAATAACGCAGGATAACCAGCAAACTCAGAACATAACAGTTAAAAAATGACTAATTAAATTAAATGACAGCTAAAAATATAATTTTTAAAAAATGACAGTTAAAAAATAAAGCAGATAGTTATAAAAAAATCAAAAAACAAATTATTAAAACAAATAAAAGCTAAGTAAGTAGTCAAATAATTATAAGAAAATCAGTAAACAAATAAAATTGACAGCTAAATAACAAAAGATATAAGAAAACCAGTAAACAAATTAAACTTTAATGAAAAAATTAATGTGATAAGTGTTTCTCTTTATTTCATTTCACTTTTTATTATAATTTACGTATTTATTAAAACTTAATCTTCGTTTTAATAACTATCAGGTTTATATCATTGGTATTATTATTTCTAATGCGTAGAATCTTAGAGAGTTGTGTATTATGAACTTCTAATGACAAAAATTATGACAGAAATTGTTTCTCTACATTTAAAATTTTGCTTATGTCAGAACATGTACCTGAAATAAAAAATACCATCAATACATACTCAATATATACATACCATCAATCAGGTAATCAGGTTTTGATCTGTATCAGTGTTAATGTCAAAAAAATTTCTAGGCGGCTGCGGCCCATTCATATTACAGCAAGTAAGTCTACCCAGCATACATGAGTTTAAATGGATAGTCTGCGACTAGCCGGTACTGACTTAACAATAGATTACCAATGTAGAACCACTAGTGGCTGTCTGGTTTTGGCGTGTCTATAGAGTACCGAGATCGTAAACGTTGTATGTAAATTTTTAATATACTATAGTATGTTGAAAATCTAATGATATTTAACATACTAGAATTTCATGCTGATAATGAAAATATATATTTTTTTCTTTCAAATTAATTATAAAATTAATTGCGGCATCAAATCTTTGCATTTTCTCCCTAAACCAGCCGATGTATGTACTGAAACCTATCACCATATTTTTAACATTTAATTACCGCACTTTACCGTTCCACATTTTATCAAAGACTTGTTATTGTTTACATTTTAAATAAATCTTCGACTGATAGAAACTACAAAAATTATAAAAAAGGCATGAAGTTATTTTAATTTATGAAAAACTATGCTACTTTACTTTACTTTAGTTAGCTGCTTATAAACAAGACACGATTAAAGATATCACCAATTAACTTATATATTATGGTTCTGTTTAGGTCGAGCAAAAGCTTTTAAATTAAACGTAGAACGTTACAAGTTTAATATCTATTAATCAATGTTAAAGAATGTTGAAAGAAAAGCGCAAGGAGTTTTATGAACCTGGTAGTTTTTTAAAAAAATTTAAATAAGTTTTTTTTTTTACAAAATATTTATATAAAGAATACTCTTTATAAACTTATTTTTTTTCTTATAAGGCTGAAAAAGACATTATAGGCTCGCCGGAAAAAAAAAAGTCAAAAGTTATATACGCAAGTCTTGTATTTTGTATTTTTTATCTTTTTTTATTAAATTAATTTGAACTTTATGCAGAAAATAAAGATTTATTGAAAAATTGGCTTCATA